TATGTGTTTATGTTTTCTTTTCTCAAACAAATTTACTTTTGAATTTGTGCAAAAATCTCCAACAAGGCATTATATTCGAGGGATGATATTAAAGACAAAAATATTCGTCATTAAATTTCACCATAAGTCACCAAAGAAAAGAAATCCGTAGTTCCACCGTATATCATTAAAATTTGTCCTTCATTGCTACAAAAAAAAAAAAAATTATTTTCTCATTTTTTGATCATTTTTTTTTTTTACTTTTTTCGAGTTAACGCCTCAAAGTAATATCAAATCTCATTTTAGGCAGCAGATACCAAAAGAAGAAATATTCTACACAAAATTCCACTATAAATCTCCGAATAAACTATATATCTAAGTAAAATAGTTTTCAAGGAAATTGCATTCGAAATGCAGATATTGCAAGTGCAAATTATGTGTTAATGTTTTCTTTTCTTACACACATTTACTTTTGAATTTGTGCAAAAATCTCCAACACGGCATTATATTAGAGGGATGGCAAAAATATTCGTCATTAAATTTTACTATAAGTCACCAAAGAAAAGAAATCCCTAGTTCCACTGTATGTCATAAAAATTTGTCCATCAATGCTCCCAAAAAAAATTCGAAAATATTTCCTCATTTTTTATAGATTTTTTCTTGGACTTTTTTTGAGTTTACGCCGGAATGTGATATAAAATTTGATTTTAGTTTAAAAGTATCAAAGAAAAAAATATTCTACACCAAATTTCACCATAAATCTCAGAATAAACCATATATCTACGTACAATAGTTTTCAAGGAAATCGCGTTCGAAATGTAGATATTGCAAATGAAAATTATGTGTTTATGTTTTTTTTTTTAACACGCTTCCATTTGAATTTGTGCAAAAATTTCAAACAATGCATTATTTTAGGAGGATAATATTAAAGACAATAATATTCGTCATTAAATTCTATTATAAGTCACCGAAGAAAAGAAATCCGTAGTTCAACTGCATATCATTAAAATTTGTCCTTCATTGCTCCCAAAAAAGTCCCGAAAACATTTCCTAATTTTTTTTGATAAATTTTTTCTTGGACTTTTTTTTGGGTTTACGCCTGAAAGTGATATAAAATTTCATTTTAGGCGGTAGATACCAAAAGAAGAAATATTCTACACAAAATTTCGCTATAAATCTCAGACCAAACCATATAAATAGGTACAATAGTTTCCAAGGAAATTACATTCGAAATGTAGATATTGCAAGTGCAAATTATGTGTTTATGTTTTCTTTTCTCAAACAAATTTACTTTTGAATTTGTGCAAAAATCTCCAACAAGGCATTATATTCGAGGGATGATATTAAAGACAAAAATATTCGTCATTAAATTTCACCATAAGTCACCAAAGAAAAGAAATCCGTAGTTCCACCGTATATCATTAAAATTTGTCCTTCATTGCTCCAAAAAAAAAAAAATTATTTTCTCATTTTTTGATCATTTTTTTTTTTACTTTTTTCGAGTTAACGCCTCAATGTAATATCAAATCTCATTTTAGGCGATAGATACCAAAAGAAGAAATATTCTACACAAAATTTCACTGTAAACTTCAGACCAAACCATATAAATAGGTTAAATAGTTTTCAAGGAAATCACATTCGAAATGTAGATATTGCAAGTGAAAATTATGTGTTTATGTTTTCGATTTTAAATATGTTTCCTTTTGAATTTGTGCCGAATTATCCTACAAAGCATCTTTTTAGAAGGATGGCAAAGATAATTTTTTTCTTATTTAATTGCTTTATAAGTTGCCAAAGAAAAGAAATCTATATTTCAATGCTTTTCAATTAAATATTTTTTACCTAAACTAAGCAAATAATGAAGCATACTTTGAGGCTGTTTGTGGTTTCAAGGAAAATTTAACGAGGTTTACTACAAAAGTCAGAGAATTGAAATAATTGAGAGATCAATATATTCAAATGATGTATTTTTAATAGAAATCTTGCCATGGGAGGAGGGAAATTGGCCAAGGTGGGGGTTTTAAAGAATATTTTTTTGAGAATTAAGAAAATGTGGTTTTAAAAAGAATATGTGCATTTTGAAGTAATATTTTTTTCAAGGACCAAACAAATGAGTAATTTTTAGGGAAATTTTTAAAGGACCAAAAAAACGAAGATTTATATGGGACAAAAAAAATATATTTTTTAAGCTCGAAGCGATTTTATATTTTTTAAGGACCAATAACCGAGGTTTTAAATTATGTTATGAAGGATTTATTAAGAATGTGTTTTCAAGGACCACCAATATGTGAGTTTTGAAATAATATTTTTTTAAGGACTAAAAAAAGAGGATTTTTAACTATATTTTTAAAGGACAGAGAGGACGAAGATCTAAAAAGGACCAAAATGATAGAAATATAAAGGACCAAAAAACGTTTTTCCAAGTTCGAAGGGATTAAAAAAATAGTTTTAAGGACTAGGACCAAGGACAGCAAACCGAGGCTTAAAATTGAGACATTAAGGACAACATTCGGGCAGCGTATGACGGTTTCATTGGCCGTTGGAAGGCCATAATTCGTTTGGTCCTCTAGAAAAATTCTTTAGAAAATCCACGTTTGTGGCTCTGATATTTCTCTGAAAAAAATTCTTTGAAAAATTCACGTTTGTGGCTTTGATCGACTCTAGCGAAATTCTGGCTCTAATAGCCCTCTTGAAAAATTCTAAAAAAATCCACGTTTGTGGCTTCTGATGGTCCTCTAGAAAAATTCTTTAAAAAATCCACGTTTATGTCTCCTTTTGTCCTCTAGAAAAATTCTTTAAAAAATTCACGTTTGTGGCTCTGATAGTCCTCTAGAAAAATTCTTTAAAAAATCCACGTTTGTGGCTCTGATAGTCCTCTAGAAAAATTCTTTAAAAAATTCACGTTTGTGGCTCTGATAGTCCTCTAGAAAAATTCTTTAAAAAATCCACGTTTGTGGCTCTGATAGTCCTCTAGAAAAATTCTTTAAAAAATCCACGTTTGTGGCTCTGATGGTCCTCTAGAAAAATTCTTTAAAAAATCCACGTTTGTGGCTCTGATAGTCCTCTAGAAAAATTCTTTAAAAAATTCACGTTTGTGGCTCTGATAGTCCTCTAGAAAAATTCTTTAAAAAATCCACGTTTGTGGCTCTGATAGTCCTCTAGAAAAATTCTTTAAAAAATCCACGTTTGTGGCTCTGATGGTCCTCTAGAAAAATTCTTTAAAAAATCCACGTTTGTGGCTCTGATAGTCCTCTAGAAAAATTCTTTAAAAAATCCACGTTTGTGGCTCTGATAGTCCTCTAGAAAAATTCTTTAAAAAATCCACGTTTGTGGCTCTGATAGTCCTCTAGAAAAATTCTTTAAAAATCCACGTTTGTGGCTCTAATAGTCCTCTTGAAAAAATCTTTAAAAAATCCACGTTTGTGGCTCTAGAAAAATTCTTTAAAAAATCCACGTTTGTGGCTCTAGAAAAATTCTTTAAAAAATCCACGTTTGTGGCTCTAGAAAAATTCTTTAAAAAATCCACGTTTGTGGCTCTAGAAAAATTCTTTAAAAAATCCACATTTGTGCCTCTAGAAAAATTCTTTAAAAAATCCACGTTTGTGGCTCTGATGGTCCTCTAGAAAAATTCTTAAAAAAATCCACGTTTGTGGCTCTGTTGGTCCTCTAGAAAAATTCTTTAAAAAATCCACGTTTGTGGCTCTGATGGTCCTATAAAAAAAATCTTTAAAAATCCACGTTTGTGGCTCTGATAGTCCTCTGGAAAAATTCTTTAAAAAATCCACGTTTGTGGTTTTGATAGCCCTCTAGAAAAAATCTTTAAAAAATCCACGTTTGTGGCTCTAGAAAGAATTTTTTAAAGAATTTTTGTAGAGGACCTGATAGTCCTCTAGAAAAATTCTTTAAGCCACATTTGTGGCTCCGATAGTCCTCTAGAAAAATTCTTTAAAAAATTCCACGTTTGTGGCTCTGATAGTCCTCTAGAAAAATTCTTTAAAAAATCCACGTTTGTGGCTTTGATAGTCCTCTAGAAAAATTCTTTAAAACATCCACGTTTGTGGCTCTGCTAGTCCTCTAGAAAAATTCTTTAAAAAATCCACGTTTGTGGCTCTGATAGTCCTCTAGAAAAATTCTTTAAAAAATCCACGTTTGTGGCTCTGATAGTCCTCTAGAAAAATTCTTTAAAAAATCCACTTTTGTGGCTCTTATAGTCCTCTAGAAAAATTCTTTAAAAAATCCACGTTTGTGGCTCTGATAGTCCTCTAGAAAAATTCTTAAAAAAAATTGTAAATACTATTTTGTAACGACAAATTTTAATGGCTTTTGAAGATCTTTAAGCCCTAAGAGACCTCTGGAGAGTCTTCCATCCCTAAAATGCCTCTGCAAGGTATTTTATCTATAGTAAACCTCTGAAAACTCTTCTAGAGGCAGAATACTCTACTCGTATTTAAAATGACCATCTGTCACTATTTTTTTTCAGATAAGAATTTGCCCCTCCCCTCTCCTCCGCCAACAATACTGGTGACATCCAATTAGTGTGATAAGAAGCGGGCGCATGACACAGTAATCACACTTTGCGGGTGGATGGATGGCCTGGAGGTAATCAACGCAAAACCGCAACCGGGGCTGACAGATACTAAAAACATAAATTAAGTGAGAACAACAAAACGTGAGGATCACTTAAACAAACAACATAAATGGTAGATAACTTTTTACAAAAAAAAAAAAAAAAAAAAAAAAAAAAAAAAAAAAAACAATAACAAAAAAAAAAAAAAAATTAAAAGCAACAAAGAAATATGGGTCTGCCTAGCCTCTCAGTCTGGTTTGATGGGAATGTTGTTGTTGAGTTCAAACAAAGCTAAATTGAAAAAAAACTACGAATTATCTTTTTGTGGAAAATTAGTTTATCTGGTTTTATTATCAATCTGTTGTTGTTATTGTCATTGTTGTTGTATTTGGATTTTATCTACTTTGGAAATTTTTGTTTTTTGAAATGTTTGTGTGCCCCTAGCAAACAAATACCCCATGGAGATCAGTGCATTTTCAACACTTGTTTGAGGTGGAAGCAATAAGTCCCGTTAGAAACTGGTTTTTTCAAAACAAAAAAAAAATTATTAAATTTTGAAAATCTGAAAAAATTAAATTTGAAATCGAATATTTCAAAAATCCCCCGCCACCATGCCTAACAAATGGGAAAACAATCAAGAAATTGAATATTTCCGGGAATATCTACGCATTCCAAGTGTTCATCCGAAACCGAATTACAGTAAGTGTGTGAAAGTGAATGAGGGAGAGTGTGTTTGTGTGTGTGTGGTAATTTAGAAAGTGTGAGAGATCTCACGGATAATTAGGGTCAATTAAATAATTAATCAAAAAATTTAAAAATAAACGTGGATTTTTTTAAAGAATTTTTCTAGAGGACTATCAGAGCCACAAACGTGGATTTTTTAAAGAATTTTTCTAGAGGACCATCAGAAGCCACAAACGTGGATTTTTTAAAGAATTTTTCTAGAGGTCTATCGGAGCCTCAAATGTGGATTTTTTAAAGAATTTTTCTAGAGGACCATCAGAAGCCACAAACGTGGATTTTTTAAAGAATTTTTCTAGAGGACCATCAGAAGCCACAAACGTGGATTTTTTAAAGAATTTTTCTGGAGGACATAAGAGTCACAAACGTGGATTTTTTAAAGAATTTTTCTAGAGGACCATCAGAAGCCACAAACGTGGATTTTTTAAAGAATTTTTCTAGAGGACCATCAGAAGCCACAAACGTGGATTTTTTAAAGAATTTTTCTGGAGGACATAAGAGTCACAAACGTGGATTTTTTAAAGAATTTTTCTAGAGGACCATCAGAAGCCACAAACGTGGATTTTTTAAAGAATTTTTCTAGAGGACCATCAGAAACCACAAACGTGGATTTTTTAAAGAATTTTTCTAGAGGACCATCAGAAGCCACAAACGTGGATTTTTTAAAGAATTTTTCTAGAGGACCATCAGAAGCCACAAACGTGGATTTTTTAAAGAATTTTTCTAGAGGACCATCAGAAGCCACAAACGTGGATTTTTTAAAGAATTTTTCTAGAGGACCATCAGAAGCCACAAACGTGGATTTTTTAAAGAATTTTTCTGGAGGACATAAGAGTCACAAACGTGGATTTTTTAAAGAATTTTTCTAGAGGACCATCAGAAGCCACAAACGTGGATTTTTTAAAGAATTTTTTTAGAGGACCATCAGAAGCCACAAACGTGGATTTTTTAAAGAATTTTTTTAGAGGACCATCAGAAGCCACAAACGTGGATTTTTTAAAGAATTTTTTTAGAGGACCATCAGAAGCCACAAACGTGGATTTTTTAAAGAATTTTTCTAGAGGACATAAGAGTCACAAACGTGGATTTTTTAAAGAAATTTTTTAAAGGACTTTCAGAGCCACAAACGTGGATTTTTTAAAGAATTTTTCTAGAGCCACAAACGTGGATTTTTTAAAGAATTTTTCTAGAGCCACAAACGTGGATTTTTTAAAGAATTTTTCTAGAGCCACAAACGTGGATTTTTTAAAGAATTTTTCTAGAGCCACAAACGTGGATTTTTTAAAGAATTTTTCTAGAGCCACAAACGTGGATTTTTTAAAGAATTTTTCTAGAGCCACAAACGTGGATTTTTTAAAGAATTTTTCTAGAGCCACAAACGTGGATTTTTTAAAGAATTTTTCTAGAGCCACAAACGTGGATTTTTTAAAGAATTTTTCTAGAGCCACAAACGTGGATTTTTTAAAGAATTTTTCTAGAGGACTATCAGAGCCATAATGGTGGATTTTTTAAAGAATTTTTCTAGAGGACTATCAGAGCCATAATGGTGGATTTTTTAAAGAATTTTTCTAGAGGACTATCAGAGCCATAATGGTGGATTTTTTAAAGAATTTTTCGGGAGGAATATCAGAGCCAAACACGTGGATTAAAAAAAAGAAATGGTAGATTTTTTTTAAGAATTTTTCTAGAGGACTATCAGAGCCACAAACGTGGATTTTTAAAAAAAATGGTAGATTTTTTAAGAATTTTTCTAGAGGACTATCAGAGCCACAAACGTGGATTTTTCAATGATTTTTTCCCCTTCCCAGCACCATGTGTGGACTTCCTGCGAAAGCAATCCGAAACACTTGGCATGCCGCTGCGTGTCTTCTATCCCGTCAATAAAGATAATCCCATTGTGGTACTATCATTGCCTGGCACGGACCCGAGCCTACCAGCCATATTATTGAACTCCCATATGGATGTGGTGCCTGTGTTCCCCGATAGCTGGAAACATTCACCATTCGGTGCCGAAATGGACGAGGAGGGAAGGATATTCGCACGCGGTGCCCAGGATATGAAATGTGTTGGTATGCAGTATTTGGGGGCGTTGCGTAAGCTCAAGGAGCGTGGAGTGCAATTCAAGCGTACGATTCATGTGTCATTTGTGGCGGGTAAGTGGAGGGAAGTGGTGGGGGAAGTATTCTTCAGAAGTGGTTAATTTTTTCTAATTTCAATTTTAGATGAGGAAATGGGCGGCGGTCTGGGTATGCGCGAATTCGTCAACACCAGCGAGTTTAAGTCCCTGAACATTGGCTTTTCCCTGGATGAGGGCTTGGCATCGCCCAGCGAAGAATTTCCTGTCTTCTATGCCGAACGTAGTGTGTGGCGTAAGTATTGCCTAATTTATAATCATGAAAGAAAGAAATGCTAAAAAATTGCATATTTAAAGGAGGAAAATTAGAAGTAGGGCATACTTTTAGGAGAAGTTTAAAAAAAATGTTGCATATTTTTGGGAGCTATTTGAAACGAGATAATTAAATAATAATTTTGAAATATTGCATAGATAATATAGAAGGAACTTAAAAATGGGGTATACTTTCAGGGATATTTTTTAAAATGTTGCATACTTTTAGGTGTAACCCTTTAAAAATCATTTTTTCCTTTTTTCTATAATTTCGCTAAAAAAAATTCTAAAAGTGGTGCACAATTTTAGGAGTTGCTTGAAATGTAATATCCTATTTTAAGGAAGAAACTTAAAAGTGGGGCATACTTTTAGGGGACATTTTAAAATATTGCATACTTTTAGGAGTTATCATTTTCAGAACACTTTATTTTACTTCTATATAACATTTTGTCAAAATATCTTAAAATACAGCATACTTTTAGGATTTCGCTTTGGAAACTATTTAAAAGTGAGGCATACTTTTAGGTGTTATTTTTTACAAAATTGAATATATAGCCCATTTTTAAACCCTTATTCGTATTTCTTTTCCCCCAGGAATCTATTTCAATATAAATGGTCATGCCGGCCATGGCTCTTTGCTGCTAAAGAACACAGTGGGCGAAAAGGCCAATTATATTCTGCATAAAATGATGTCAATGCGTGAACAACAAGTTCGAAGATTGGAAAATAATCCAGACTTGACAATTGGCGATGTGACGACCATTAATTTGACCCAAGTGCGGGGTGGGGTCCAGAGTAATGTGGTGCCGCCCACAATGGTTTTGGGCTTTGATGTGCGCCTGGCATTGGATGTGGATCACAAGGAATTTGAAGAACAGGTGGGGGGGGGGATTTTTTCGAAATATTCTAAAAATCGGATAATTTTTTTTTATTATCTCTTCTTAGCTCCACAAATGGTGTGAAGAGGCCGGTGGCGATATCAATTTGACCTATGACCAAAAACGTCCACGTGTTCCACCCACATCCACCGATGATAGCAATCCCTTTTGGGTGGCGTTCAAGGCGGCAGCAGATGAATTGTAATTTCAAAAATTTTAAATTGGCAAATTTAACTGTTTTTATAAAATTTTGTTATTTTTCCAGGACTCTCAAAGTGAAACCCCAAATCTTTACCGGCGGCACTGATAGCCGTTACATCCGCCAGGTTGGCATTCCCGCACTGGGTTTCTCTCCCATGAACAATACCCCCGTATTGTTACATGATCATGATGAATTTCTGCAAGCTGATGTCTATTTGCGTGGCATTGAGATTTATACCAAAATCATTGAGAATCTGGCGAATTGTTAAGGCCGGTTTTGGGAAGGATATGAGTTCGAAAAAAAATGTGCCAAAAAATAAATATAAATATAAGAGATTAAAAATAATAAAAATTTAAAATCCACACATGGGGATCTAGAAAAATTCCTTAAAAAATCCACGCTTGGGGCTCTAATAGTCCTCTAGAAAAAATTCTTTAAAAATCCACGTTTGTGGCTCTGATAGTCCCCTAGAAAAAATCTTTAAAAAATCCACGTTTGAGTCCTTCTGAAAAATTCTTTAAAAAATCCACGTTTGAGTCCTTCTGAAAAATTCTTTAAAAAAATCCACGTTTGCGGCTCTGATAGCCCTCTAGAAAAATTCTTTAAAACATCCACGTTTGTGGCTCCAAAAGTCCTCTAGCAAAATTCTTTAAAAAAATCCCCATTTGTGGCTCTGATAGTCCTCTGGAAAAATTCTTTAAAAAATCCACGTTTGTGGCTCTGATAGTCCTCTGGAAAAATTCTTTAAAAAATCCACGTTTGTGGCTCTGATAGTCCCCCAGAAAAATTCTTTAAAAAATCCACGTTTGTGGCTCTGACAGTCCTCTAGAAAAATTCTTTAAAAAATCCACGTTTGTGGCTTCTGATGGTCCTCTAGAAAAATTCTCTAAAAAATCCACGTTTGTGGCTTCTGATGGTCCTCTAGAAAAATTCTCTAAAAAATCCACGTTTGTGGCTCCCTAGAAAAATTCTTTAAAAAATTCACGTTTGTGGCTTCTGATGGTCCTCTAGAAAAATTCTCTAAAAAATCCACGTTTGTGGCTCCCTAGAAAAATTCTTTAAAAAATCCACGCTTGGGGCTCTGATAGTCTTTTAGAAAATTCTTTAAAAATCCACGTTTGTGGCTCTGATAGTCCTCTGGAAAAATTCTTTAAAAAATCCACGTTTGTGGTTTTGATAGCCCTCTAGAAAAAATCTTTAAAAAATCCACGTTTGTGGCTCTAGAAAGAATTTTTTAAAGAATTTTTGTAGAGGACCTGATAGTCCTCTAGAAAAATTCTTTAAGCCACATTTGTGGCTCCGATAGTCCTCTAGAAAAATTCTTTAAAAAATTCCACGTTTGTGGCTCTGATAGTCCTCTAGAAAAATTCTTTAAAAAATCCACGTTTGTGGCTTTGATAGTCCTCTAGAAAAATTCTTTAAAACATCCACGTTTGTGGCTCTGCTAGTCCTCTAGAAAAATTCTTTAAAAAATCCACGTTTGTGGCTCTGATAGTCCTCTACAAAAAATCTTTAAAAAAATCCACGTTTGTGGCTCTGATAGACCTCTAGAAAAATTCTTTAAAATATCCACGTTTGTGGCTCTAGTAGTCCTCTAGAAAAATTCTTTAAAAAATCCACGTTTGTGGCTCTGATAGACCTATAGAAAAATTCTTTAAAAATCCACTTTTGTGGCTCTATTAGTCCTCTAGAAAAATTATTTAAAAAATCCACGTTTGTGGCTTCTGATGATCCTCTAGAAAAATTCCTTAAAAAATCCACGTTTGCAGTTCTGATGGTCCTCTAGAAAAATTCTTTAAAAAATCCACGTTTATGGCTCTGATAGTCCTCTAGAAAAAATTCTTTAAAAAGTCCACGTTTTTAGCTCTGTTGGTCCTCTACAAAAATTCTTTAAAAAATCCACGTTTGTGGCTCTGATAGTCCTCTACAAAAATTCTTTAAAAAATCCACGTTTGTGTCTCTTTTGGTCCTCTAGAAAAATTCTTTAAAAAATCCACGTTTGTGGCTCTGATAGTCCTCTAGGAAAATTCTTTAAAAAATCCACGTTTGTGGCTCTAGAAAAATTCTTAAAAAAATCCACGTTTGTGGTTCTGAAAGTCCCCTAGAGAATTTCTTAAAAAAATCCACGTTTGTGGCTCTGATAGTCCTCTAGAAAAATTCTTTAAAAAATCCAAGTTTGTGGCTCTGATAGTCCTCTAGAAAAATTCTTTAAAAAATCCACGTTTATGGCTCTGAAAGTCCTCTAGAAGAATTCTTTAAAAAGTCCACGTTTTTAGCTCTGTTGGTCCTCTACAAAAATTCTTTAAAAAATCCACGTTTGTGGCTCTGATAGTCCTCTACAAAAATTCTTTAAAAAATCCACGTTTGTGTCTCTTTTGGTCCTCTAGAAAAATTCTTTAAAAAATCCACGTTTGTGGCTCTGATAGTCCTCTAGGAAAATTCTTTAAAAAATCCACGTTTGTGGCTTCTGATGGACCTCTTGAAAAATTCTTTAAAAAATCCACGTTTGTGGCTCTTTTGGACCTCTTGAAAAATTCTTTAAAAAATCCACGTTTGTGGCTCTTTTGGACCTCTTGAAAAATTCTTTAAAATATCCACGTTTGTGGCTCTTTTGGACCTCTTGAAAAATTCTTTAAAAAATCCACGTTTGTGGCTTCTGATGGTCCTCTAGAAAAATTCTTTAAAAAATCCACGTTTGTGGCTTCTGATGGTCCTCTAGAAAAATTCTTTAAAAAATCCACGTTTGTGGCTCTTTTGCACCTCTTGAAAATTTTATAAAAAATCCACGTTTGTGGCTCTTTTGCACCTCTTGAAAAATTCTTTAAAAAATCCACGTTTGTGGCTCTTTTGGACCTCTTGAAAAATTCTTTAAAAAATCCACGTTTCTTGGCTCTTTTGGACCTCTTGAAAAATTCTTTAAAAAATCCAAGTTTGGGGCTCTGATAGTCCACTAGAAAATTTTTTTAAAAAATCCACTTTCGAAAAATTCTTTAAAAATCCACGTTTGTGGCTCTGATAGTCCTCCAGAATTTTTTTTTAAATATCCAAAAATTAATTTCTTTGAAAAATTCAAATTTTCGCTCTCGCCGTGAGAATGACTAATTTTTTCTCTCTTCTCCTCTCCCCCGCATTTCCATTTAAAATGATGATGATTCCACCAAATAATCGCTAAGTCATAGCTCACGAAGCATTAATGGCTCTCCATTTAAATATAATTTCAGCTAATCACTGCCCACCAGATTTCAAATCTCATTGGAATTTCGAACATTTATTTTATATTTTCACAAAAATCAACAATTTATCACAGTAACATTCAAAAAATTTTCAAAACTTCATCATAACATAGTGGGAGAACAGGGCAATCACATAGAAAGTACTCCAGGCTGAGGCCGAAGACCAGGCAGAGGATGAGGAAGAGTTTCCATAGGGACGGCCATCAGGTCCACGATTATATTGCGTATTGGAGGTGGAGTAACTGAAGGGGCCCGGATAACCAGGTTGGCCCGGTTGGGGTGGAACTCCATTAAAACCTGGACCTCCCGCGAAACCTGTGGGATTACCACCACTATAGGTATGGCTACGACCCTGGGCATCATTTACATTGATGTGGAATCCTCCATTACCGCCATAGCCACCATAGGGCACACCATTGGCATCTACACCGCCATAGCTGTAACTGAAATCGTTTTGGGGTGGTTGTCCGGGTGCGCCACTCGAACTTGACGATGACCATGAACTGGCCCCCGTATTACCCCAGCCATTTTGACCTGTTCCTATGAAAGAAAACCAAAAAAAAAATTATTTCTTTTCCCAAAATCTTCGGTTTATTGCGTCTTACCTGAACTCATTATAATTCGACTCGCCAGCACAACGCTTCCCAACAGACTGAACGCTGGTGTTAACGTTAGCATGTTAACTTGTTTGACGTCGTTTAGCGACTGGTATGGGCCGGTGGCGAATTTCATGATTTTAAGCCTGACTCATTTTTGTGGTTTGACAAATTAAATTCATTTGTCCGAATTTTCGGGGGAGGTGACAAGCCGGAGGGTAGGTGGGAAACAGCTGAGCTTCAGGTAGATGATGATGCACTGCACTGTATTGCTTGTAAACAAAACATGTTGTTGTTGGTGTCGCTGTTGTTGTAAGAGAGTATTTTGATGTATTCCGTCATCGTGCTAGGAAGGAAATTGAAGTGTTAAATTTTTGGGGCAAAGTAAATATTAGGGGTATTCATGGAAAATGGAATAAAAATAATTTTAATAAAATAAAATTTTTAAAAATATTTTTAATAAAAAATTTTAAAAATTAAAAAATTAAAAGATATTTTAAATAAATTTAAAAAAAATATTAAGAATATTTTTAATGAAAAAAGAAAAAAAAAAAATAAAAACATTTTTATGAAATAAAAAGTATTTAAAAATATAGTAATAAAAGATTTTTTTTTGACAAACAATTATTTATAAATATTTTAATAAAATAAAAACTAAAAAAAAATATTTTAAATAAAAAACATTAAATATAAAAAAATCAAAAGATATTTTAAAAAAATTAAAAAAATATTTTTTAATAAAAAATATCAAAATTAAAAAAAAATTAAAATATATTTAATTTATTAAAAATTAATTAATTAATTTATTAAAAATATATAAAAAATATTTTAAATGAAATAAAAAAAAAATAAAAAATATTTTTATAAAATAAAAAAGTATTTAAATAATAATAACAAAGAATTTTTTTGACAAATAATTATTTATAAATATTTTTTAATAAAATAAAAACTAAAAAAAATATTTTAAATAAAAAATATTAGAAATAAAAAAAATAAAAGATAATTTAAATAAATTAAAAAAAAATAGAAAATTAAATAAATAATTTTTGATAAAAAATAATAAAAAAAAATTTTACTAAAAATAATATAAAAAAATAAAAAAAATTAAAGATATTTTAAATAATTAAACAAAAAATAAAACAGATTTTTATTAAATAAAAAAGTATTCAAATAACAATAACAATTTTTTTTTTAATAAATAATTATTCATAAATATTTTGTAATAAAATAAAAACTAAAAAAAATATTTTAAATAAAAAATATTAAAAATAAAAAAGTGAACGATAATTTAAATAAATTAAAAAAATAAACAAAATTAAAATAATAATTTTTGATAAAAAATAATAAAAAAATATTTTTACTAAAAAATATAAAAATAAAAAAATTTAGAAATATTTAAAATAATTAAAAAAACATAAAAAAAATATTTTTATTAAATAGAAAAGTATTTAAATAATAATAACAAAATATTTTTTTTTAATAAATAATTATTCTTAAATATTTTTAATAAAATAAAAAAATATTTAAAATAAAAAAAATATTGAAAAAAAAAACTAAAAGATATTTTAAATAAATTAAAAAATTAAAATATTTTAAATGAAATAAAAAAATTAAAAAAAATATTTTTATAAAATAAAAAAGTATATAAATAATAGTAACAAAATATTTTTTTAGCACGACCCTGGGTATTCGTGGAAAATGGAACATTTTTAATAAAATAAAAATTAAAAAAAAAATAATAAAAAATATCAAAATTAAAAATATTAAAATATAATTTTTATAAATAAAAAATTATAAAAAATATTTTAAATGAAAGAGAAAAAAATATTTTTATTAAATAGAAAAGTATTTAAATAGTAATAAACAAAATATTTTTTTTAGCAAACAATTATTTATAAATATTTTTAATTAAACAAAACCAAAAAACTAAAAAAATATTGAAAATAAAAAATTTAAAGATATTTTAAATAATTAAAAAAAAAAACATAAAAAAATATTTTTATTAAATAAAAAAGTATTTAAAATATAATAACAAAATACTTTTTTAATAAATAATTATTTATAATCATTTTTAATAAAAAATTAAAAAAAATCAATAAAATATATTGAAAATAAAAAATAAGAAATATTTATGATAAATAAAAATGTTTTAAATTAAATAAAAAAAATATTTTTATAAAATAAAAAAAGTATTTATATAAAAATAATAAAATAGTTTTTAACAAATAATTATTTATAAATATTTTTAATATAATAAAAACTAAAAAAATATTTTAAATAAAAAATATTAAAATTAAAAAAAATTAAAAGATATTTTAAGCAGATTAAAAAAATAAAAAGAGTTAATAAATATTTTTACTAAGAAAATATAAAAATAAAGTACAAAATTTTAAAGATATTTTAAATAAATTTAAAAAAATTAAAAAATATTCTTATAAAATAAAAAAGTATTTAAATAGTAATAACAAAATATTTTTTTAGCAAATATTAATTTATAAATATTTTTAATAAAATAAAAACTAAAAAAAAAAATAATTTAAATAAAACATATTAAAATTAAAAAAAAAATAAAAGATACTTTAAATAAATTTAAAAATAAATATTTTAAATTAAATAAAAAATATTTTTTGCTGTTGTAAAATGATCGGGCTTAATCCCTTTATTGTTGTTTTTATAAAGACAACTTTTGTTTATTGGTGGAGAACGATGGTAATGTTTACCAGGGGGTAAGGCAGGGAATACCTAACTTCTATGACAAAAAACTTTTTGTAAAATATTTTTTATAAAATAAAAATGTGTTTAAAAAATAATAATAAAATATATTTTTTAACAAATAATTATTTTAAACAAGGAACTGTTTTTAATACACAAAAGACCATTCTAATAAAATAAAAAAATAGTAATATAGCAAGTAAGTAATTAGTAACATAGAAATGTAAATATGTTTAATAAATAATCACATGAAAAAAAAAACAAAAATAATAAAAATATTTTTATAAAAAAAATAATAAGAAATATTTACAAAAATCCCCACCAATCTTAATTATACATAAACAAAATATTTGTAATAAAACTAAAGACGAGAAAATATTTTTAATAATATAAATGATTTTTTTTATACAATAAAAAAATATATTTTTAAATAAAATAACAATATTGAAAATAAAACAGAAAAGATAATTTTAATAAACTTAAGAATAATTTAAAAATATTTTTATTAAAAAAATAAAATACTAAATAAATTCCCGTCAATCTTAATTATATAATAAAATTAAAGAAAATATATTTTAAATAACTTAAAATAAGAAAATATATTTTTTATGAAATGAAAAATAAATATTAATAGAATACTTTTTTTAATAATAAATAATTTATTAATCATTTTTTTAATTGAAAAAATAAGTCAAAAATAAAATAAAAAATTAAAAAAAAAAAACATTTTAATAAAATAAAAAAACAAAAAAATTATAGTAATTAAAAAATGTAAATATTTCTAATAAAATAAAAATTAAAAATATATTGAAAATAAAAAATAACTAGAAACTATTTTTAATAAATAAAAAAAATAAATAATAAAAAATACAATAATAGAAATATAATAAAATCAAAGAAGAACAAATATTTTTAATAATAAAAGAAATAAAATATATATTTTTAATAAAATAAAAAGGAAATTTTAATTAAATAAAAATATCTTTAATACGGTTTTTTTTAATTTTCCAAAAAATATTAAAAATGAAAAAAAAAAAATAAAAATACATAACAAACAAAATAAAAAAAATTAAAAGATATATTTAATAAAATAAAACTTAAAATATATAAAAAATCGAATTAAAAAAAATTAAGAAAACTAAAATATATAAAAAATGGAATTAAAAAATATTTTTAAACAAAAAAAAAAAAAAAAAAAAAAAAAAATAAAAGCTCTCAAAATATTTTTTAATGAAAAACAACATTTTGAATAAAAACCACGCCTCTTAAAAATATTTTTAATAGAAACCAAGCCTCTTAAGTATTTTAAATATATTAAAAAAAAATCAAGCCTCTTAAAAATATTTTGGATATAACCAAGCAATTTTAATTTTTTTAAAAAATAGTTTTAATAAAAACGTAATTTTTCAAAATTCCTAAAATATATATTTAATTAAAAACTCCGCCCTTTTAAATTCTTAAAAAAATATTTTTAATAAAAACCACGACTTAAACAAATGTTTTTAATAAATACCACGCCTTTAAAAATTATTTTTTTTTTAATAAAAACCACGCCTTTAAAGATATATTCTAAATAAAAACCGCGCCTTTTTAATTTCTTAAAAAATATTTTTAATAAAAACTACGCCTTTTTAAATTCCTAAAAAATATTTTTAATAAAAACTACGCCTTTTTAAATTCATAAAAAATATTTTTAATAAAAACCACGCCTCCTAAAAATATTTTTAATGAAAACAACGCCTTTTTAATTTCTTAAAAAATATTTTTAATAAAAACTACGCCTCCTAAAAATATTTTTAATAAAAACTACGCCTCCTAAAAATATTTTTTAATGACACCACGCCTCTAAAAAGTATTTTTAATAAAAACCATGCTCCTTAAAAATATTTGTAATAAAAACCACGCCTCTTAAAAATATTTTTTAATAAAAACCACGCCTTTTTTGAATAAAAACCACGCCCTTAAAAATATTTTGAATAAAATCCACACCCCCTAAAAATATTTTGAATGAAAACCACGCCTCTTAAACATATTTTCAATAAAATCCACGCCCCTTAAAAATATTTTGAATAAAAACCACGCCTCTTAAAAATATTTTGAATAAAAACACGTCCCTTAAAAATATTTTGAATAAAATCCACGCCCCCTAAAAATATTTTGAATAAAAGCCACGCCTCTTAAAAATATTTTGAAAAAAAAACACGCCTCTTAAAAATATTTTAATAAAAACCACGCCCCTTAAAAATATTTTTAATAAAAACAAAGCCTCTTTAAAATGTTTTTAATAAAAACCACGCCTCTTAAAGATATTTTGAATAAAAAACACATCTCTTAAAGATATTTTGAATAAAAACCACATCATTTTAAATTCTTAAAAATATATTTAATAAAAATAAATTTTTTAAGGTTTTTAAAAAATAATAAAAACAAAGTTTCTTAAAATTTTTTAAAAAATATCTTTCATAAAAATATGCTTATTAAAATTTTCAGATTTATTTTATAAAAAAACACGCCTCTAAAATTCTTTACAAAATATTTATATTTTTACTGAATGTTCTGAATGTTCCTACAAAAATATTTTGTGAGTACTCCCATCTTTTTGTTTTAAATTTGAACATCTGAGTCACAAGTTTGTGAAATTAAATCTAGGCTATTAGAGAATTTGAAAGGGAGTAAGCCATGTTTGTTTTTGCTTTAAATTCGTATCTACCTAATTTGATCTAAGACTTCTAGAACCCCACCACTTAGTTACTCATCACGTTTAAATTGCCTTAATTTTTTTCTCTCTCTTATTTCAAATAAATTTTCGAAGTAGTAATCTAAAATACAAAAATAATAAAATTAATTGGTTTGTTAATGTGGAGGGAATCGTTGTGAGCGGCCCCGCTACGTCACATAAAATTGTTAGTTTGAATGTTTCTTTTGCGGTTTTTACGTTGTATTTTTAACTGTGAGAATATTCAAAATTTATGATAATTTAATGATAGCCTCAGGGTGAAATGCAAAATGTGATAAGTGATATTTTTTTGGATGTCAGGGATTTTTATGGGAAAGAGGTATTGTGGGAGGTCAAGTTGAAAATGTATTAGAAATAAACATTTTCAATATATTATTTACACCATTTTGCTTTTTATCAAAGTTCATAGAAATGAAACTATTACACGCTAATGGCGCACGTGTGTCAATGTGTTGTTCCAAACGCTACACGCAATTTGCCCTGATGCGTTTTGTGTCGAGAAAACGCTGAATTTTTTTTTTTTTTTCAACAAACTATTTTGATGACGTGACTTCATCATCGCGTTAAACTCCACCGTGCATTAAGTGTCACAAATTACATTGTTTGGACAATTAAAAATCTAAAAATTCCAATTTAAATACCGGAAATATTTGATCCAAATAAACCTTCAAAAATCATTTATTTCCATAAAAAGATAAAAAATGGGAATATTTCCACGCCTTTTAAAATTCTTAAAAAAATATTTTTAATAAAAAACCACGCCTTTTAAAATTTTCCAAAAATATTTTTAATAAAATTTACGCCTTTTAATATTCTTAAAAATATTTTTAATAAAAACCACGCCTTTTAAAATTCTTAAAAAATATTTTTAATAAAATCCAGGCCTTTTAAAATTCTCCAAAAATATTTTTAATAAAAACCACGCCTTTTAAAATTCTCCAAAAATATTTTTAATGAAAACCACGCCTTTTAAAATTCTTCAAAAATATTTTTAATAAAATCCAAGCCTTTTAAAATTCTCCAAAAATATTTTTAATAAAATTCAGGCCTTTTAAAATTTTCCAAAAATATTTTTAATAAAATCCAGTCCTTTTGAAACTCTCCAAAAATATTTTTAATAAAATCCAAGCCTTTTAAAATTCTCCAAAAATATTTTTAATAAAATCCACGCCTTTTAAAATTCTCCGAAAATATTTTTAATAAAATCCAGGCCTTTTAAAAATATTTTTAATAAAATCCACGCCTTTTAAAATTCTCCAAAAAAATTTTAATAAAATCCACGCCTTTTAAAATTCTTTAAAAATATTTTTAATAAAATCCACGCCTTTTAAAAATCTCCAAAAATATTTTTTTTTGAAATCCAAGCCTTTTACAATTCTCCAAAAATACTTTTATTAAAATCCACGCCATTTAAAATTCTTCAAAAATATTTTTAATAAAATCCAGGCCTTTTAAAGTTCTTCAAAACATTTTTAATAAAATTCAAGCCTTTTTCAAGTCGCCAAAACTATTTTTAATTAAATCCACGCCTTTTTAAATTCTCCAAAAATATTTTTAATAAAATCCAGGCCTTTTAAAATTCTCCAAAAAATATTTTTTAACAAAAATCCCGAAATTTGATACAGCAAAAATTTATTCAATACAGCCTTTATATTTTAAATCTACATTGCCAGTTGGATGTTTGAAAATATATCAGGCGTTAAGTATATATAATTCGTTTCATTATTGCCATAATATTACATTTCAATTCCTTTTGTGAGTTTTGTAAATATTTTTTCTTTCGAATCGATTATTGTTTGAAATCATATGGCCAAGTGAACAATTATAAATGAAAACACTTGTAAAAATATATTTGTTTTTGGTATTAAGTCAAGGAATTGGCCAAGACCTTTATATGGCGAAAAATCTATGAGCAATGAAAGTAACACTCAATTTAAAATGTGTTGCATACTTTTAGGCCGAAATTAAATGCTCTGCACAGTGCTTTGGACAGACATGGAGGTTTTTTATTTAAAAATATTTTCAAGTGGCGTGGTTCTTGTTAAAAATATTTTCTAGAGACGTGGTTTTTATTACAAATATTTTTCAAAGGCGTGGTTTTTATTAAAAATATTTTTTAAGAATTTTAAAGGGCGTAGTTTTTATTAAAAATATTTTTTCAGAGTTTTAAAAGGCGTGGTTTTTATTAAAAATATTTTTTAAGAATTTTAAAGGGCGTGGTTTTTATTAAAAATATTTTTTCAGAGTTTTAAAAGGCGTGGTTTTTATTAAAAATATTTTTTACAAATTTTAAAAATTGTGTTTTTTTTTAAATATTTTTTACGAATTTTAAAAGGCGTGGTTTTTATTAAAAATATTTTTTAAGAATTTTAAAAGGCATGGTTTTTAGTAAAAATATTTTTTAAGAATTTTAAAAGGCCTGGATTTTAGTAAAAATATTTTTTAAGAATTTTAAAAGGCATGGATTTTAGTAAAAATATTTTTTAAGAATTTTAGAAGGCATGGTTTTTAGTAAAAATATTTTTTAAGAATTTTAAAAGGTATGGCTTTCATTAAAAATATTTTTGGAGAATTTTAAAAGGCGTTGATTTTATTAAAAATATTTTTGGAGAATTTTAAAAGGCGTGGCTTTTATTTAAAATATTTTGGGAGAATTTTAAAAGGCGTGGCTTTCATTAAAAATATTTATGGAGAATTTTGAAAGGCGTGGCTTTTATTAAAAATATTTTTGGAGAATTTTAAAAGGCGTGGCTTTTATTTAAAATATTTTGGGAGAATTTTAAAATGCGTGGCTTTCATTAAAAATATTTTTGGAGAATTTTAAAAGGCGTGGATTTTATTAAAAATATTTTTGGAGAATTTTAAAAGGCGTGGCTTTTATTAAAAATATTTTTGAAGAATTTTAAAAGGCGTGGATTTTATTTAAAATATTTTTGGAGAATTTTAAAAGGCGTGGCTTTCATTAAAAATATTTTTGGAGAATTTTAAAAGGCGTGGCTGTTATTAAAAATATTTTTGAAGAATTTTAAAAGGCGTGGATTTTATTTAAAATATTTTTGGAGAATTTTAAAAGGCGTGGCTTTCATTAAAAATATTTTTGGAGAATTTTAAAAGGCGTGGCTGTTATTAAAAATATTTTTGAAGAATTTTAAAAGGCTTGGATTGTATTAAAAATATTTTTGGAAAATTTTAAAAGGCGTGGATTTTATTAAAAATATTTTTGGAAAATTTTAAAAGGCGTGGATTTTATTAAAAATATTTTTGAAGAATTTTAAAAGGCGTGGCTTTCATTAAAAATATTTTTTAAGAATTTTAAAAGGCATGGATTTTAGTAAAAATATTTTTTAAAAATTTTAAAAGGCGTGGTTTTTATTAAAAATATTTTTGGAAAATTTTAAAAGGCGTGGATTTTATTAAAAATATTTTTGAAGAATTTTAAAAGGCGTGGCTTTCATTAAAAATATTTTTGGAGAATTTTAAAAGGCGTGGTTTTTATTAAAAATATTTTTTTAGAGTTTTAAAATGCGTCGATTTTATTAAAAATATTTTTTAAAAATGTTAAAAGGCGTGGTTTTTATTAAAAATATTTTTAAAGAATTTTAAAAGGGTGGTTTTTATTAAAAATATTTTTAAAGAATTGTAAAAGGCGTGGTTTTTATTAAAAATATTTTTTTAGAATTTTAAAATGCGTCGATTTTATTAAAAATATTTTTTAAGAATTTTAAAAGGCGTGGCTTTTATTAAAAATATTTTTTTAGAATTTTAAAATGCGTCGATTTTATTAAAAATATTTTTTAAGAATTTTAAAAGGCGTGGCTTTTATTAAAAATATTTTTTCATAATTTTAAAATGCGTGGTTTTCAGAAAAAAAAAATAATTTGAGTCATGAAAAGAAAATATCTCTCCCCGTGTTTATGAATTAACGCCTCAAGGTATGCTTTAAATAAAAACAAATAAATTCACAATTGTAAAGGGAAAACAAAAAAATGTTGCTCCTCTTGATTTTTATTTCAAGCCACGGAAATTATTTTTAGAAAATTTTCCGCTTCGCATTATTTTCTTTGAATAAAAATAGAAAAACATATTTTCACAGGTGTTCTGGCTGTCGTACATTTGAACTTGGTTTTATAATTTCAAACAAATAAAATATTTGTGAACATGTTATGACACCTGTAAATATCTGTGGTTTGAAATTAGTGATATAAATATCTCCCCTGAGATATGGAAACAATATTGATCAATCAAGTGAAAATCCAACTGGCGATATGAAGCAGAAGTTTACAATTCTATTGGTTACCCTGGTGGTGGCCCTGATGTTTGAGGGTAAGAAAAGGATTTTAGTTTTTATTTCTCCAACAAATCTAAAATTTATGTTTATTCCCTTTCCAGCCGTCCTCTCTGAAGATGGCTCGGGTGGTGAATCCGGTCCCGATGGTGGCTATCACTATGAACATCATGGTGACAATAGCTATGGCTATGGCTGGAGTGACAACAATGGAGGCGGTGGCAGCTCCTCCGGTTCGGGTGATCAAAATGACGGTGGCTTCGATTGGGGATGGCTTGGACAATGGTTCCATAGATTTGGCAAACCACAAAATGAACCAGCTCATGAAGCTGCTGCTGCACCTGTTCAGGAATAATTGAACAAAGGTTTTTTTCAATCTTTCGAAAATTTTGATGTCCTGTAACGATGTGAATTTTTTGCCATGTAGAATAAATATTAGCAAAAAGCGAAATTTTGTCATACGTTTTGGGAATATATTAGAGGGGTGGGGTGAGAATCTCTTTTCAGAGACCATAACAAACATTTGCAACACAACAGAAACCTTAACTCAACGGCAAATTTAGTACCCATTGGGTACTTTTCGTACTCAAATAGGACACAGTTACTAAATATCACACCCAGATACCCTCAGTTATCCAAAATATCAGTTTTCAGAATTTTATTTCTAACCCTTCATCCAATAACAAATTTAGTACCATTTAGTACTTTTCGTAAAAATATAGAACGCATTTTTTAAACCATCGCCAAATCTCAAACACTGATACCAACAGAAGCCTCAATAGCAAATTTGAGGATTCCAGCTCTGTCCCTGTACCCAATACCAAGTTTAGTACCATTTAGTACTTTTCGTACGAATATGGACAACTTCTGACAACTTTAAGAGGCGTGGTTTCTATTTTAAATATTTTGTGACAACTTTAAGAGTCGTGGTTTTTATTAAAAATATTTTTTAAAAAATTTAAAAGGCGTGGTTTTTATTAAAATATTTTTGGAGAATTTTAAAAGGCGTGGCTTTTATTAAAAATATTTTTGGAGAATTTTAAAAGGCGTGGCTTTTATTAAAAATATTTTTGAGGAATTTTAAAAGGCGTGGATTTTATTAAAAATATTTTAGGAGAATTTAAAAGGCGTGGCTTTCATTAAAAATATTTTTGGAGAATTTTAAAAGGCGTGGCTTTCATTAAAAATATTTTTGAAGAATTTTAAAAGGCGTGGCTTTCATTAAAAATATTTTTGGAGAATTTTAAAAGGCGTGGCTTTTGTTAAAAATATTTTTGGAGAATTTTAAAAGGCGTGGCTTTCATTAAAAATATTTTTGGAGAATTTTAAAAGTCGTGGATTTTATTAAAAATATTTTTGGAGAATTTTAAAAGGCGTAGCTTTTATTAAAAATATTTTTGGAGAATTTTAAAAGACGTAGCTTTTATTAAAAATATTTTTGGAGAATTTTTAAAGGCGTGGCTTTCATTAAAAATATTTTTGGAGAATTTTATAAGGCGTCGCTTTCTGTAAAAATATTTTTGGAGAATTTTAAAAGGCGTGGATTTTATTAAAAATATTTTTGAAGAATTTTAAATGGTGTGGATTTTATTAAAAATATTTTTTTAAGAATTTTAAAAGGCGTGGATTTTATTAAAAATATTTTTGGAGAATTTTAAAAGGCGTGGTTTTTATAAAAAAATATTTTTTAAAACTTTAAAAGGCATGGTTTTTATTAAAAAATATTTTTCAAGAATTTTAAAAGGCATGGTTTTTATTAAAAAATATTTTTTAAGAATTTAGAAAGCGTGGTTTTTATTAAATGTATTTTTTAAAAATTTTAAAAGGCGTGATTTTTATTAAAAATATTTATTAAGAATTTTAAAAGGCGTGGTTTTTATTAAAAATATTTTTTAAGAATTTTAAAAGGTTTGGCTTTTATTAAAAATATTTTTTAAGAATTTTAAAAGGCTTGGATTTTATTAAAAATATTTATTAAGAACTTTAAAAGGCGTGGTTTTTATTAAGAAATATTTTTGGAGAATTTTAAAAGGCGTGGTTTTTATTAAAAATATTTTTGGAGAATTTTAAAAGGCGTGGCTTTCATTAAAAATATTTTTGGAGAATTTTAAAGGGCGTGGATTTTATTAAAAATATTTTTGGAGAATTTTTAAAGGCTTGGCTTTTATTAAAAATATTTTTGGAGAATTTTAAAAGGCGTGGCTTTTACTAAAAAGATTTTTGAAGAATTTTAAAAGGCGTGGATTTTATTAAAAATATTTTTGGAGAATTTTAAAAGGCGTGGATTTTATTAAAAATATTTTTGGAGAATTTTAAAAGGCGTCGCTTTCATTAAAAATATTTTTGGAGAATTTTAAAGGGCGTGGATTTTATTAAAAATATTTTTGGAGAATTTTAAAAGGAGTGGCTTTCATTAAAAATATTTTTGGAGAATTTTAAAAGGCGTGGCTTTTATTAAAAATATTTTTTTATTAAAAATATTTTTGTACCAAAAAAGTACCATTTGGCACTTTTCGTGCACCTGTGCCACGTATTTCCAAAATCACCTCTTTATCACAAACCTACCACCAACAGGGACCCCAACAGAAAATTTCAAAAATCCAGCTTTATCCGTTCACCCCAAACCAAACTTTTTCAAATTTAGTACCATTTAGTACAGTTTGCACACTTAGCACACATTTCCAAAAAAAAAAAAAAAAACTTCGTGTACCAAATTTCCTTTCCAACCTTGATTCTGCCACCAAATTTCAAGTTTTTCAAGCTCTCTTCGTCCACATTGTACCAAAATGGTACCATTTTTAAAAGTTTAGTACCATTTTAGAACTTTTCGTAATCTTAAAGTTCGAATTTCCAAAAAAGAAAACCCCTTTGGTACATCTGCCAACAACTTTCTTTTCAAATTTCATTCCAAATTCTAGCTTTTCCCATGTGTCCGATATGTACGTATTTTTAGTACATTTTAGTACTTTTCGTACCCTTTTGGTACAAGTTTCCAAAAAGACTGACCCTTGTTAATTTTTTCTTAAGATGCCTTTTTATTTATTGATCGCTAGTAAAAGAAAGCTGTAAAAATGCCTTAGGCAACGGCTACTTCGGGACGATGTAGTCTGGGACGGGACACATGACCATCATGTTCATGATGGTGATGGGGTTCGTGAGGGCCAACGTGGTGGAGTCCCTCCTCTTCGGGTCCCTGTTGGACATTGAAATTCACCAACCATTCCCAATCGAAAATGTCCCAGTTCCACCATTCCTCGTTGTAATCAACGCTGCCACCGGCACTATAATCCACTACATCGCCACCCTCTTCCTGTTCGTAGTAGTAGTCATAGGTGTCGGCCTCATAGTCGACAACATTGCTCTCACAGGGGGAAACTGGAAGAAAATTAGAATTTCAAATTAATTTTGAAAAAAAAATCTTTTTTTTTTTTTTTTTTTTTTTTTTTTTTTAAGAAAATTAGAATTTCAAATTAATTTTGAAAAAAAAATCTTTTTTTTTTTGCCTTTACTTGAAATGGCCACCACCAGGGCAATGAAACAAAGGAAGGACTTCATTTTTTTTGTTTTTTTCTTTGGAAATGAAAATTTATTGAACTTTCCTCGGAGAATCGGAAGAACTGGAATTGCCTCATCCAGTTATCATTGCTTGTTTTATACTATTTTATTGAACAGTTTTTTATAGGAATTAGATCTAATATTGAAATAGTTATTTTTTTTTTTGTTTTTCACAAGGCATTGTCTCGTTGGGCAAATATTTTCCAATTAATTGTTGCGAAAACAGCAGGGCTGGCGAATTGCTTGTAATCGCCAGCTGTGAAAATATTTTTCCTCAATGCGCTTGCAAGACTAATGGATGGCTATTGGATAATACGGAAGACTGGTTTTTGTGTAAAGAATGAGCTGGCATTTAGCTACCCCACAAATGTCATTGAGTATTTCTATAATTCAAAGCATACTTTTAGGCGTCTATGAGATATGGTCAGTGGAATATCTCAAAATAAATAAAAATCAACGTCAACAAGAAACGGCTGAAGATAAAATTTTGAAATTTTGCATGAGGGTCAGTCGAGGTGTGTAGGTGTGTGATATGGCTAGGTTTTGGGAAATTCGTACTAAAAGTGTACGAAAAGTACTACTAAATGAACGAAAAAATTAAATACTTTGTATTGGACAAAGGGAATGAGAATCTAAATAAATTTAAAATGAGTGTCAAGACCGGTGTGCAGGTAGATGTAGCAAAGGGGTTTTGGAAATTCGTACCAAAAGGTTAAGAAAAGTACGAAAATGTACTAAAAATGAATACTTTGTATTGGACAAACCGACCGGAGCTAGAATTCTAAAATTTGAAGTGAGAGTAAATGCAAGAGTGCTTGATAGGCGTAGCAATTTGGTATTGGGTTGACATAACGGTGCTAGAAATCAGACATTTGGTATTAGGGTCGCTCTTGGCGGTGGGTTTGTGATACAGAGAGAGATTTGGTATTGGGTGAAGGAATAGGGCTGGAATACTCAAATTTGGTATTGAGGTTTATTTTTGTATAAGGGATTGAGGTAGTTTGAGTTTTTGGAAATGTGTACTAAAATTATTCGAAAAGTACTAGATGGTACTAAATTTGGCATTAGGTGAAGGAATAGGGCTGGAATACTCAAATATGGAGATCTCTGTTGGTATCAGTGTTTGAGATTTGGCGATGTTTTGGAAATGTATACTAAAATTGTTCGAAAAGTACTAAAAGGTACCAAATTTGGTATCGGGTAAAGGTATATATATAAAATTCTGAAATTTGATACTTATATTACGGATGGTGTCTGTGTTTGAGATTTGGTGGTACTTTGGAGATGCGTCGCATATTTTTACGAAAAGTACTAAATTCGGGTAAAGGCATAGAAATAGAATTCTGAATTTCGATATTTCGATCACTGATAGCATCTGTGTTTGAGATTTGGCGGTGGTTTTGGAAATTGTACCATAATTGTACGAAAACTACTAAATGACACTAAATTTTGTTTGTAAAATATCCAAGTCTCTTTTTTTTTTTGATTTTTTTTTTGTAAGAAAACCACGTCGCTTTGGAAAAATATTTTTTAAAAAATCCACGTCAATTACTTTTGTGGAAAAATATTTTTAAAAAAATCCACGTTAATTATTTTTGTGGAAAAATATTTTTTAGAAAATCCACGTCAATTATTTTTGTGGAAAAATGTTTTTTAAAAAATCCACTTCTCTTATTTTTGCGGAAAATTATTTTATAAAAAATCCTTGTCGATTTTTTTTGTAGAAAAATATTTTTTAGAAAATCCACGTCAATTATTTTTGTGGAAAAAATCCACACCTGTTGTTACTTTGAAAAAAATATTTTTTTTAAAAATCCACTTCTGTTGTTACTTTGAAAAAAAATATTTTTTAAAAAATCCAAGTCTGTTGCTGCTTCAAAAATAATAATTTTTAAAAAATCCACGACTGTTGTTATTTTAAAAAATATATTTTTTAAAAAATCCACACCTGTTGTTACTTTAAAAAAAATATTTTAAAAAATCCACGCCTGTTGTTACTTTGAAAAAATATTATTTAAAAATCCACCCCTGTTGCTACTTTGAAAAAAAAAAAAAATATTTTTAAAAAACCCACGCCTGTTGTTACTTTGAAAAAATATTTTTTAAAAAATCCACGCCTGTTGCAGCTTTAAAATAATATTTTTTAAAAAACCCACGCCTGTTGTTACTTTGAAAAAATAATTTTTAAAAGATCCAAGCCTCTTGATACTTAGAAAAAAATACTTTTAAAAAATCCACGACTATTGTTACTTTGAAAAAATATTTTTTAAAAATCCACACCTGTTGTTACTTTGAAAAATATTTTTTAAAAATCCACGTCTGTTGTTACTTTGAAAAAATATTTTTTTAAAAAATCCACATCTGTTGTTATTTTGAAAAAATATGTTTTAAAAAATCCACGTCTGTTGTTATTTAAAAAAATATTTTTTAAAAAATCCACGTCTGTTGCTAACTTAATAAAATATTTTTAAAAAATCCAAGTCTGTTGTTCCGTTGAAAAAAATATTTTTTAAAAATTCACGCCTGTTGCCTCTTTGAAAAATATTTGTGAAAAATCCACGTCTTTTGCTTCTTTGATAAAATATTTTTTGTTAAATCCAAAACTTTTGCTCTAAAAAAAAACTATTTAAAAAATCCACTTCTGTTGTTACTTTGAAAAAATATTTTTTAAAAAATCCACGTCTGTTCTTACTTTGAAAAATAATTTTTAAAAAAAATCCACGTCTGTTGTTACTTTAAAAAAATAATTTTTAAAAAATCCACACCTGTTGTTACTTTAAAAAAATAATTTTTAAAAAATTCAAGCCAGTATTTACTTTGAAAAAAATATTTTTTAAAAAATCCACACCTGTTGTTACTTTAAAAAAATAATTTTTAAAAAATCCACACCTGTTGTTACTTTAAAAAAATAATTTTTAAAAAATCCACGCCAGTATTTACTTTGAAAAAAATATTTTTTAAAAAATCCACACCTGTTGTTACTTTGAAAAAATATTTTTTAAAAATCCACGTCCGTTGTTACTTTGAAAAAATATTTTTTTAAAAAATCCACGTCTGTTGTTACTTTGAAAAAATATTTTTAAAAAAAATCCACGTCTGTTATTACTTTGAAAAAATATTTTTTGAAAAAATCTACGCCTGTTGTTACTTTGATAAAATATTTATTTAAAAATCCACACCTGTTGTTACTTTGAAAAAAAATATTTTTAAAAAATCCACGCCTGTTGTTACTTTGAAAAGAATATTTTTTTAAAAATCCACGTCTGTTGTTACTTTGAAAAAAATATTTTTTAAAAATCCACGTTTGTTGTTACTTTGAAAAAATATTTTTTAAAAATCCACGCCTGTTGCTTCTTTGCATTTTTTAGTTCCATGTCTATTTTTTATGGAAAAGAGATTAAAACAACATCTGCCTACCTTAAACTGTAAAACAAGATCGTCATTTAAATAATAGTCATTTAATAATATTTGTAATTTAAACGGTCATCAATTACGACTGTGTTGTCAAGTTGTAGCAATGCCCTTTTCCAGTAAAATAGTTACAACAACAACAAGAAAACAACAACCAAGTTTGAAACTGATAGCCCGTAGGTTGTTTGTTGTGGCATTTATCTGAATCCACTTAAAATCCACTGAAAATAAAAACCCCCGAGAAATGTAACAAAAAATGCACCGCAACCGACTCTACGTTCTCAGGTACGATCCGTTTGGAAAATCAGAATCAAAAGAATGAGGCAGGTGATTGCATGTTGTCTATTGGCCGTGTTGGGGCTAATTTGTGCTGAAGGTATGACACGAGATGAAGTTCGAGATTGTCAGGATAAAAATTTAATTATTTTCTCTTTTTTTGTTTTTGTTATTTTAAGTGGTGCTGGGTCATGACTATCCCCGGGGACCAAATGTTGAGGGTGTACGTGTGAGACGCCAATATGGTGGTGGTCGGTCAGGGGCTCCAGGTGGAGCAGGTGGCTATGGAGGCAGTGGTGGATATGGTGGCAGCCCTGGGCAACCTGGCGGTAATGGTGGGGGAGGTGGTGGAAATGGTGGTGGCGGAGGCGGAGGTAATGGTGGAAACGGAGGAAATGGCGGTGGCCCAGGACAACCTGGACAACCAGGCGGTAATGGTGGAGGAAATGGCGGTTATGGTGGCAATGGCGGTTACGGCGGCAGTGGTGGTTATGATGGCCAACCTGGTCAGCCAGGAGGTTATGGACGTTAATTAAAAAAACTTTGTTTTATTTTTCTAAAAGAAAATAAAGAGTTGATTTAAAACAAAAGGACAAACAAAGGATTTTTTTATTTTTTTAGAAGAACCAACAGATAAAAGAAAAAAAAAAAACGTTTTCAAAGTAGCAAAAAAGTGGGATTTTTTAAAAAAATATTTTTTATAATTAACAACAAAGGTAGATTTTTAAAAAATATTTTTTTTTCAAAGTAACAACAGTTGTGGATTTAAAAAAAAAATCAAAGTATCAACAGACGTGGATTTTTTAAAAAATATTTTTTTAATTTACAACAGACGTGGATTTTTTAAAAAATATCTTTTCCGAAGTAACAACAGGTGTGGATTTTTTAAAAAAATATTTTTTTTAATTAACAACAGACGTGGATTTTTAAAAAATATTTTTCCACATAATTAAGAGCCGTGGATTTTTAAAAAAATATTTTTCCACAAAAATAGGAGACGTGGATTTTTTAAAAAATATTTTTCCACATAATTAAGAGCCGTGGATTTTTAAAAAAATATTTTTCCACAAAAATAGGAGACGTGGATTTTTTAAAAAATATTTTTCCACAAAAATAGGAGACGTGGATTTTTTAAAAAATATTTTTTTCAAAGTAACAACAGACGTGGGTTTTTAAAAAAATTTTTTTTTCAAAGTAACAACAGACGTAGATTTTTAAAAAAAATATTTTTTTTTCAAAGTAAGAACAGAGTTTGATTTTTAAAAGAATATTTTTTTTCAAAGTAAGAACAGACGTGGATTTTTAAACATATATTTTTTTCAAAGTAACAACAGACGCGGATTTTTAAAAAAAAATTTTTCAAAGTAACAACAGACATGGGTTTTTAAAAAAAAAAACTTTTTTTTAAAATTAACAACAGACTTGGTTTTAAAAAAATATATTTTTTTCAAAGTAACAACAGACGTTGATTTTTCAAAAATTTTTTTTTTCATAGTAACAACAGACGTGGATTTTTAAAAAAATATTTTTTCAAAGTAACAGCAGACGTGGATTTTTAAAAAATATTTTTTTCAAAGTAACAACAGACGTTGATTTTTTAAAAAATATTTTTTTCAAAGTAACAACAGACGTGGATTTTTAAAAAAATATTTTTTCAAAGTAACAGCAGACGTGGATTTTTAAAAAAATATTTTTTCAAAGTAACAGCAGACTTGGATTTTTAAAAAATATTTTTTCAAAGTAGCATTAGACGTGGATTTTTTTAAAAAATATTTTTTCAAAGTAGCATTAGACGTGGATTTTTTAAAAATTATTTTTTCAAAGTAGCATTAGACGTGGATTTTTTAAAAAATATTTTTCCACAAAATTAAGGGACGTGGATTTTTTAAAAATTATTTTTTCAAAGTAGCATTAGACGTGGATTTTTTAAAAAATATTTTTCCACAAAATTAAGGGACGTGGATTTTTTAAAAATTATTTTTTCAAAGTAGCATTAGACGTGGATTTTTTAAAAATTATTTTTTCAAAGTAGCATTAGACGTGGATTTTTTAAAAAATATTTTTCCACAAAAGTAAGGGACGTGGATTTTTTATAAAATATTTTTCCACAAAATAAAGGGACGTGGATTTTTTAAAAAATATTTTTCCACAAAATTAAGGGATGTGGATTTATTAAAAAAATATTTTTTCAAAGCAGCAACGGACTTGGATTTTTTAAAAAATATATTTTTTCAAAGCAGAAAATGACGCGGATTTTTTAAAAGATATTTTGTTTAATTAACAACAGAAGTAGATTTTTTAAAAAATGTTTTTTCCACAAAAATAAGAGACATTGATTTTTTAAAAAATATTTCTCCACAAAAAAAGCAATGTGAATTTTTTAAAAAATAATTTTCCATAAAAATAAGAGACCTAAATTTTTTAAAAAATATTTTTCCACAAAATTAAGAGGCGTGGATTTAATAAAAATATTTTTCCACAAAATTAAGAGACGTGGATTTAATAAAAAAAAAATATATTTCCACAAAATTAAGAGACGTGGATTTAATAAAAAAAAATATTTCCACAAAATTAAGAGACGTGGATTTAATAAAAAAAAATATTTCCACAAAATTTAGAGACGTGGATTTTATAAAAAATATTTTTCCAAAGCAGTAACATACGTGGATTTTTTAAAAAAATATTATTCCGTAAAATTAAAAGACATGGATTTAAAAAAATATTTTTCCACAAAAATAAGATACCTGGATTTTTTAAAAAAATATTTTTTTCAAAGCAGCATCAGACGTAGATTAAAAAAATATTTTTTTCAAAGCAGCAGCAGACGTAGATTAAAAAAATATTTTTTTCAAAGCAGCAGCAGACGTAGATTAAAAAGATATATTTTTTTTTTTTTCAAAGCAGCAGTCGACGTAGATTAAAAAAATATTTTTTCAATGTTCAAACAATCCACAATTTTTTTTTTAATTATTTGTTTTAGAGTAGCAAAAGGTGTTGTTTTATTTCCTTTATTTTTCAAATTTGTGTAGCATTTCAGGAACACCCTAATAGAACCATAACCCATAATTAGATGATTATATCTAAACAATAAAAGTCCACAAAATAAATTGGCTGGGAAAAGATCAATCAGTAAAAATATAAATAAAGGAAACATATAAATATAGGAGTCAGCTGAACATCTATTTTGGTGTCATTTTTTTTTTTGAAATTCGATCCGACAAACAAAATGGAGCGGTGCAAAAATCTGGGGTGTCTTTTATTTTTTGTTCTTATTTTTAGTGAGGGTAGGCTGTGAATGAAATTAAAATTAAAAAAAAAAAAAAACTAATAATATTGCTTTAATGCAGCTGTTATTGGCTCCTTGGAGGTATTCAAACAGGACCACAATCGCATAAAACGCCAAGGTGGCTATGGTGGTGGCTATGGTGGTGGCTCAAGTCCTGGCGGCGGTTATGGCTATGGTAGCTCTGGGGATAGCAGTTATGGTTATGGATATACTTCTTCAAGTGGCCAGCCAGGTCAAATGGGCGGTGGCGGAGGAGGTGTTGGAGGATTTGGTGGTGGTTTTGGCGGTGGTCCCGGAGGAGGTGGAGGTTTTGGAGGCGGTCCTGGAGGAGGTGGTGGTTTTGGTGGTGGTCCAGGTGGAGGCGGCAGTTCTGGTGGTGGTTTTGGTGGTGGTCCAGGAGGAGGTGGAGGCTTTGGTGGAGCTCCCGGAGGAGGTGGAGGCTATGGTGGTGGTCCAGGAGGGGGTTATGGAGGTTCCAGTGGCGGCTATGGCGGTTATGGTGGTTATGGCAGATAATGTGTTTTAAATATAAATGAATTAAAATGGTGTTTGTTAAAAACCATCACAAAGAGGATTTTGAAGTAAAAGTTTTACAAGGATCTCAAGGAGTGGATATTTCAGATTTTCAAAAAATAACAAAAGGTTCAACAAAATGGGATTTTTGTTATATTTTTTACAAGGAATAACAAACGTGGATTTAATAAAAATATATTTTTTCAAGGACCAACACAAATGTGAATTTTTTGAAAATATTTTTTCAAGGACCAATACAAACGTGGATTTTTTAAAGAATATTTTTTCAAGGACCAATACAAACGTGTATTTTTTAAAGAATATTTTTTCAAGGACCAATATAAATGTGGATTTTTTAAAAATATTTTTTAAGGATCAGAACAAACGTGAATTTTTTAAAGAATATTTTTTAAGGACCAATACAAACGTGTATTTTTTAAAGAATATTTTTTCAAGGACCAATATAAACGTGGATTTTTTATAGAATATTTTTTCAAGGACCAATATAAACGTGGATTTTTTAAAGAATATTTTTTAAGGACCAATACAAACGTGGATTTTTTATAGAATATTTTTTCAAGGACCAATACAAACGTGGATTTTTTATAGAATATTTTTTCAAGGACCAATACAAACGTGGATTTTTTATAGAATATTTTTTCAAGGACCAATACAAACGTGGATTTTTTATAGAATATTTTGTCAAGAACCAACTGGAAAACGTGGATTTTTTAAAAATATTTTTTCAAGGACCAGAACAAACGAGGATTTTTTAAAAATATTTTTTGAAGGACCAACTGGACAAACATTGATTTTTTAAAAATATTTTTTTTTTCACGAATCAGGATAAACGTGGATTTTTTAAAAATATTTTTTTCAAGGATCAGGATAAACGTGGATTTTTTAAAAATATTTTTTTCAAGGATCAGGATAAACGTGGATTTTTTTAAAAAAATTTTTCAAGGATCAGGATAAACGTGAATTTTTTTAAAAATATTTTTTAAGGGCCAAAACAATAGTATATTTTTTAAAAAAATAATTTTTTAAGGAGCGGAACAAAAGTGGATTTTTTAAAAAATAATTTTTTATTAAATAGAACAAACGGGGATTTTTAAAAAAAAATAATTTTTAAGGACCGGAACAAATGTGGATTTCTTAAAAAAATATTTTTTTTAAAAACCAAGACATACGTGGATTTTTTAAAAATATTTTTTAAAGACCAGGACAAACGTGGATTTTCTAAAAATAATTTTTAAGGACCAGGACAAATGTGGATTTTTTAAAAATATTTTTTTCAAGGACCTGAGCAAACATGGATTTTTTAAAATATTTTTTTCAAGGACCTGGACAAACGTGAATTTTTAAAAATATTTTTTTCTAGGACCTGGACAAATATGGATTTTTCAAGGAATATTTTTTAAGGACCAGGACAAACGTGGATTTAAAAAAAAAAATTGTTTAGGGAACAACACAAACGTGGCTTTTCCCAAAAATATTTTTTCAAAGATCAACCCAAACGTGGCTTTTTTAAAAATATTTTTAAGGACCTCTTTTTCAAGAATTTTTTTAAAATATTTTATTTAAGATTGTTTAAAAATATTTTTCCAAGGACCAGGAAAACGGTGGATTTTTAAGTATTACTTTTTAAGGACCGGAATAAACGTGTATTTCCTTAAGAATATTTTTTAAGGACCAGAACAAAAGTAGATTTTTTAAAAATATTTTTCCAAGGACGGTATTTTTTGTTAATTGTTTTAATATTTTTTATTGTATCTTTTCATTTTGGTTTTTTGTTTAGTTTTCTTATTTTAATTATATATAGATTCAAAATTTATGGACATGGTGGCAACCATGATGGCCTGACACAATCAGGACCCCCGGCACCGCCAGCTCCACCTGGGCCATTACCAGCACCGCCACCACCACCGCCGCCGCCTCCTCCACCACCACCAGGTTCACAATTACAGCCACGACCACCACCTCCACCACCGCCTCCACCGCCACCTCCGGGCAGGGGAGAAGCTAAGGAAACAAATTTTAATTTTTATTTATTATTATTTTTTATTTTATTTATTTATTTTTTTATTTTATTTATTTATTTATTTATTTTTTGAGAAAAATATACTATTTTTTTGATTTTTTTTTTTTTTTTGAGAACATTTTTTTTTTGAATATGAAAACAATTTTCCCTACTTACCTCCATTAAGGGCCAATAGGCCACATATTAAACTGAAAATTAGCCAATATTTCATCTTGACTTTATACCGTGAATGAAATTAAAATTTAAAAAAAAAACTAATAATATTGCTTTAATGCAGCTGTTATTGGCTCATTGGAGGTATTCAAACAGGACCACAATCGCATAAAACGCCAAGGTGGCTATGGTGGTGGCTCAAGTCCTGGTGGCGGTTATGGCTATGGTAGCTCTGGGGATAACAGTTATGGTTATGGATATACTTCTTCAAGTGGCCAGCCAGGTCAAATGGGTTGTGGCGGAGGAGGTGTTGGAGGATTTGGTGGTGGTTTTGGCGGTGGTCCCGGAGGAGGTGGAGGTTTTGGAGGCGGTCCTGGAGGAGGTGGTGGTTTTGGTGGTGGTCCCGGAGGAGGCGGCAGTTCTGGTGGTGGTTTTGGTGGTGGTCCAGGAGGAGGTGGAGGCTTTGGTGGAGCTCCCGGAGGAGGTGGAGGCTATGGTGGTGGTCCAGGAGGGGGTTATGGAGGTTCCAGTGGCGGCTATGGCGGTTATGGTGGTTATGGCAGATAATGTTTTTTAAATAGAAATAAATTAATATGGTGTTTGTTAAAAACCATCACAGTGAGGATTTGAAGTATAAGTTTTACAAGGATCTCAAGGAGTGGATATTTCAGATTTTCAAAAAATAATAAAAGGTTCAAAAAACGTGGATTTTTTAAATATATTTTTACAAGGAATAACAAACGTGGATTTAATAAAAATATATTTTTTCAAGGACCAACACAAATGTGAATTTTTTGAAAATATTTTTTCAAGGACCAATACAAACGTGGATTTTTTAAAGAATATTTTTTAAGGACCAATACAAACGTGTATTTTTTAAAGAATATTTTTTCAAGGACCAATATAAACGTAGATTTTTTATAGAATATTTTTTCAAGGACCAATACAAACGTGGATTTTTTATAGAATATTTTTTCAAGGACCAATACAAACGTGGATTTTTTATAGAATATTTTGTCAAGAACCAACTGGAAAACGTGGATTTTTTAAAAATATTTTTTAAGGATCAGAACAAACGTGGATTTTTTTAAAAATTATTTTTTTAAAGACCAGAACAAACGTGAATTTTTTAAAAATATTTTTTCAAGGACCAGAACAAACGAGGATTTTTTAAAAATATTTTTTCAAGGACAAGGACAAACTTGGATTTTATAAAAAATAATTTTCTAAGAACCATCACAAACGTGGATTTTTTAAAAAATAATTTTTTAAGGACCAGAACAAACGTGGATTTTTTAAAAAATAATTTTTTAAGGACCAGAACAAACGTGGATTTTTTAAAAGTATTTTTTCAAGGATCAGGATTATTTAAAAATATTTTTTCAAGGATCAGGTTAAACGTGGATTTTTTTAAAAAAATTTTTCAAGGATCAGGATAAACGTGATTTTTTTTAAAAATATTTTTTAAGGGCCAAAACAATAGTATATTTTTTAAAAAAATAATTTTTTAAGGAGCGGAACAAAAGTGGATTTTTTAAAAAAATAATTTTTTATTAAATAGAACAAACGGGGATTTTTAAAAAAAATAATTTTTAAGGACCGGAACAAATGTGGATTTCTTAAAAAAATATTTTTTTTAAAAACCAAGACATACGTGGATTTTTTAAAAATATTTTTTAAAGACCAGGACAAACGTGGATTTTCTAAAAATAATTTTTAAGGACCAGGACAAATGTGGATTTTTTAAAAATATTTTTTTTCAAGGACCTGAGCAAACATGGATTTTTTAAAATATTTTTTTCAAGGACCTGGACAAACGTGAATTTTTAAAAAATATTTTTTTCTAGGACCTGGACAAATATGGATTTTTCAAGGAATATTTTTTAAGGACCAGGACAAACGTGGATTTAAAAAAAAATTGTTTAGGGAACAACACAAACGTGGCTTTTCCCAAAAATATTTTTTCAAAGATCAACCCAAACGTGGCTTTTTTAAAAATATTTTTAAGGACCTCTTTTTCAAGAATTTTTTTAAAATATTTTTTTTAAGATTGTTTAAAAATATTTTTCCAAGGACCAGGAAAACGGTGGATTTTTAAGTATTACTTTTTAAGGACCGGAATAAACGTGTATTTCCTTAAGAATATTTTTTAAGGACCAGAACAAAAGTAGATTTTTTAAAAATATTTTTCCAAGGACGGTATTTTTTGTTAATTGTTTTAATATTTTTATTGTATCTTTTCATTTTGGTTTTTTGTTTAGTTTTCTTATTTTAATTATATATAGATTCAAAATTTATGGACATGGTGGCAACCATGATGGCCTGACACAATCAGGACCCCCGGCACCGCCAGCTCCACCTGGGCCATTACCAGCACCGCCACCACCACCGCCGCCGCCTCCTCCACCACCACCAGGTTCACAATTACAGCCACGACCACCACCTCCACCACCGCCTCCACCGCCACCTCCGGGCAGGGGAGAAGCTAAGGAAACAAATTTTAATTTTTATTTATTATTATTTTTTATTTTATTTATTTATTTTTTTTTTTTTTTGAGAAAAATATACTATTTTTTTGATTTTTTTTTTTTTTTTTTTGAGAACATTTTTTTTTTTTGAATATGAAAACAATTTTCCCTACTTACCTCCATTAAGGGCCAATAGGCCACATATTAAACTGAAAATTAGCCAATATTTCATCTTGACTTTATACCGAGGTATGGACAATTGTTTAGTTAATTGTTGTTTTTATAGGTTTTCCCGGAGACGATTTTGTTGTTGTTGGAGTGTTGGAGTGTAGCTGGAAATGATGAGCTGAGGAATTCATTAGAATTTCGATTGCGTTGGGGGAATCCTCAGTAGTTTGTTTTTCCCGTATATAAAAAAGTTACACTCGAGGAAAATTGATAGTCGGTGATAAAAGAAAATTAATAGAAAATATTTATGTTTTCAACAATTGTGATACACTCAAAGAAAAATGTTAGTTGGAGAAGGAAAAAAAGTTTAAAAATACATTTTTTTTTTAAAATGGTTCTACACTCAAAGAAAATTTTCGTTGAAGGAAATAAAAATATACAAAGGACAATGTATATAAAAAAAAAAACGGACGTGAGGGAACACCCTATACCCCCGCCTGTAAAAATAGTCAACCGTACCTTCTTTTGCCATAAATTTAATTATTATATCATAATTTACTGACCAATTTTTGTGAGTGTATGATTAGCCTTTAATATAATCATCTTCATTAGTTAAAATTGATTAAATTTAAATATTGCTCAAGTGTCAGGTTTGACAGTCTTTATCACCTAAACTTGTTATTTTCGTTAGTCACTTAGGCTCTACTTACTCACGTTGCACAATGCCTCACGTGGAACTTTTACAAAAAAAAAATAAATAAATAAATAAATAAGAAATGCGTTCCAAAAAAAAAATGGATTTTAATAAATATATTTTACAAGGGCAAAGAAACGTGGATTTTTTAAAATATTTTTATGAAGGGATCAACAAACGTAGATTTTTTAAAAAAATTTCCACAAGAATCATTTGAGGATTTTTAAAAATAATTTTTTTTGAAAAGATAAACAAACGTGAATTTTTTAAAAATATTTTTTGAAAGGATCAACAAACGTGGATTTTTTTAAAAAATATTTTTTAAAAAGATCAACAAACGTGGATTTTTTTAAAAAAATATTTTTTGAAAGGTTCAACAAACGTTGATTTTTTAAAAAAATATTTTTTGAAAGGATCAACAAACGTGGATTTTTTAAAAAAAATATTTTTTGAAAGGATCAACATACGTGGATTTTTTAAAAAAATATTTTTTGAAAAGATCAACAAACGTGGATTTTTTAAAAAAATATTTTTTGAAAGGATCAACATACGTGGATTTTTTAAAAAAAATATTTTTTGAAAGGATCAACAAACGGGGATTTTTTAAAAAAATATTTTTTGAAAGGATCAACATACGTGGATTTTTTAAAAAAATATTTTTTGAAAAGATCAACAAACGTGGATTTTTTAAAAAAATATTTTTTGAAAGGATCAACAAACGGGGATTTTTTTAAAAAATATTTTTTTAAAAAGATCAACAAACGTGGATTTTTTAAAAAAATATTTTTTGAAAGGTTCAACAAACGTTGATTTTTTAAAAAAATATTTTTTGAAAGGATCAACAAACGTGGATTTTTTAAAAAAATATTTTTTGAAAGGATCATCATACGTGGATTTTTAAAAAAAAAATTTTTTTGAAAGGATCAACAAACGGGGATTTTTTAAAAAAATATTTTTTGAAAGGATCAACAAACGTGGATTTTTTAAAAAATATGTTTTGAAAGGATCAACAAACGTGCATTTTTTAAAAAATATTTTTTTGATAGGATCAACAAACGTGGATTTTTTACAAAATATTTTTTTGAAAGGATCAACAAACGTGGATTTTTTAAAAAATATATTTTTTGACATTATCAACAAACGTGGATTTTTTAAAAAATATTTTTTGACATTATCAACAAACGTGGATTTTTTAAAAAATATTTTTTGAGATTATCAGCAAACAAACGTGGATTTTTTAAAAAATATTTTTTGAGATTATCAGCAAACAAACGTGGATTTTTTAAAAAATATTTTATTGAAAGGATCAACAAACGTGGATTTTTTAAAAAATATTTTTCGAAAGGATCAACAAACGTGGATTTTTTTAAAAATATTTTTTGAAAGGATCAACAAACGTGGATTTTTTAAAAAACATTTTTTGAAAGGATCAACAAACGTGGATGTTTTAAAAAATAATTTTTGAAAGGATCAACAAACGTGCATTTTTTAAAAAATATTTTTTGAAAGGATCAACAAACGTGGATTTTTTAAAAAATATTTTTTTAAAAGGATCAACAATCGTGGATTTTTTAAAAAATATTTTTTTAAAGGATCAACAAACGTGGATTTTTTAAAAAATATTTTTTGAAAGGATCAACAACCTTGGATTTTTAAAAAAATATTTTTTTGAGACGATCAACAAGCTTGGATTTTTTAAAAAATATTTTTTGAGACGATCAACAAGCTTGGATTTTTTAAAAAATATTTTTGGAAAGGATCAACAACCTTGGATTTTTAAAAAAATATTTTTTTGAGACGATCAACAAGCTTGGATTTTTTAAAAGGATCAACAAACGTGGATTTTTTAAAAAATATTTTTTGAAAGGATCAACAAACGTGGATTTTTTAAAAAATATTTTTTGAAAGGATCAACAAACGTGGATTTTTTAAAAAATATTTTTTGAAAGGATCAACAAACGTGGATTTTTTAAAAAATATTTTTTGAAAGGATCAACAAACGTGGATTTTTTAAAAAATATTTTTTGAAAGGATCAACAAACGTGGATTTTTTAAAAAATATTTTTTGAAAGGATCAACAAACGTGGATTTTTTAAAAAATATTTTTTGAAAGGATCAACAAACGTGGATTTGTTAAAAAAATATTTTTTGAAAGGATCAACAAACGTGGATTTTTTAATAAATATTTTTTAAGATTATCAACGAACGTGGTTTTTTAATAAATATTTTTTAAGATTATCAACAAACGTGGATTTTTTAAAAAATATTTTTTGAGATTATCAACAAACGTGGATTTTTTAAAAAATATTTTTTGAGACTATCAACAAACGTGGATTTTTTAAAAAATATTTTTTGAAATTATCAACAAACGTGGATTTTTTAAAAAATATTTTTTGAGATTATCAACAAACGTGGATTTTTTAAAAAATATTTTTTGAGATTATCAACAAATGTGGATATTTTAAAAATATGTTTTTTCACAATTATCAACAAACGTGGATTTTTTAAAAAATATTTTTTGAAAGGATCAACAAACGTGGATTTTTTAAAAAATATTTTTTGAGATTATCAACAAATGTGGATATTTTAAAAATATGTTTTTTCACAATTATCAACAAACGTGGATTTTTTAAAAAATATTTTTTGAAAGGATCAACAAACGTGGATTTTTTAAAAAATATTTTTTGAGATTATCAACAAATGTGGATATTTTAAAAATATGTTTTTTCACAATTATCAACAAACGTGGATTTTTTAAAAAATATTTTTTGAAAGGATCAACAAACGTGGATTTTTAAAAAATATTTTTTGAAAGGATCAACAAACGTGGATTTTTTAAAAAATATTTTTTGAAAGGATCAACAAACGTGGATTTTTTAAAAAATATTTTTTGAAAGGATCAACCAACCTGGATTTTTTAAAAAATATTTTTTGAAAGGATCAACAAACGTGGATTTTTTAAAAAATATTTTTTGAAAGGATCAACAAACGTGGATTTTTTAAAAAATATTTTTTAAGATTATCAACAAACGTGGATTTTTTAAAAAATATTTTTTAAGATTATCAACAAACGTGGATTTTTTAAAAAATATTTTTTAAGATTATCAACAAACGTGGATTTTTTAAAAAATATTTTTTAAGATTATCAACAAACGTGGATTTTTTAAAAATATTTTTTAATGATTCTCAACAAACGTGGATTTTTTAAAAAATATTTTTTAAGATTATCAACAAACGTGGATTTTTTAAAAAATATTTTTTAAGAATATCAACAAACGTGGATTTTTTAAAAAATATTTTTAAGAATATCAACAAACGTGGATTTTTTAAAAAATATTTTTTAAGATTATCAACAAACGTGGATTTTTTAAAAAATATTTTTTAAGATTATCAACAAACGTGGATTTTTTAAAAAATATTTTTTGAAAGGATCAACAAACGTGGATTTTTTAAAAAATATTTTTTGAAAGGATCAACAAACGTGGATTTTTTAAAAAATATTTTTGAAGGGATCAACAAACGTGGATTTTTTAAAAAATATTTTTGAAAGGATCAACAAACGTGGATTTTTTAAAAAATATTTTTTGAAAGGATCAACAAACGTGGATTTTTTAAAAAATATTTTTTGAAAGGATCAACAAACGTGGATTTTTTAAAAAATATTTTTTGAAAGGATCAACAAACGTGGATTTTTTAAAAAATATTTTTTGAAAGGATCAACCAACCTGGATTTTTTAAAAAATATTTTTTGAAAGGATCAACAAACTTGGATTTTTTAAAAAAATATTTTTTTAAAGGATCAACAAACTTGGATTTTTTAAAAAATATTTTTTTGAAAGAATTTTTGGATTTTTTAAAAAATATTTTTTTTGGATTTATTTATTTTATATATTATATATCATCATTTATACTTTTATTATTTTTTTATTTTTTGCTGTTGGGCGCCATTGGCTCATCGTTTGATTCCCCGGGGGATTCCACAATTGGAACACTGGAATCAGTTGTAGTTACCAGCTGGGTAGACGTCTCCAAATCGGGTAATGTACTAACTTCAGTTACCGTCCTCCTAAGTAATTGGGGATTATTTGGCCGCCCAGCAAATGACAGCAAAGGTCGTGTTAAGGGGGCTGTCAAGGTATCCAACAGAGAACCAACATTCCCCAAAAGATTATTGAATATACCCTGGCAGGCAATGCCGGCACTGAGGAGAGCAATAACTACAATGACAATTTGAAAATTCATAGCTGAGCGGAAAATTTACGAAAATGAACTGAGAGTAAAATCTGCGAATGTAAATGATTTTTATAAAATTTGTATCAAAATATGCCGCGGCATAAATTTTACAGATTTTTAATTTTGTTTTCCGAAATCAAGTGAAACTTTGAAACCACGAATCTAAGTGATGTTAGAAGCGCTGTACCCTATAATAGGCAAAGGTTGGAAAAAGGGGGATTTATTAAAAAAGATTTTTT